GACGGCGAAGGTGTGGCGCTCGCGACGGCGATGGCGACAGCGACGATTGCGACGACGACGATGACGACGCCGACGACGACGGCGACGGTGTGGCGCTGGCGACGGCGCTGGCGACTACGACGACAACGACGACGACGGCGACGGTCCGAGCTGGCGAGTGCGCCGACGACGACGACGGCGACGGTTTGGCGCTTGCGACGGCGACGACGACGGGAACGACGACGCCGACGACGACGGCGACGACGACGACGACAACGGTGTGGCTCTGGCGACGGCGACGGCGACGGTGACGGCGACGGCGACGCCGACGGCGACGGCGACGGCGACGGCGACGGCGACGGCGACCGACGACGACGGCGACGGTGTGGCGCTGGCTGTGGCTGTGGCGCTGGCGACGACGGCGACGGCGACGCCGATGGTGTGACGCTGGCGACGTCGCGACGACGACGATGACGACGACGGTGGCGACGGTGTGCCGGTGGCGACGACGACGGCGACGAAGGGTACGGGCTACGGTGACTGCAACGACGACGACGACGCCGACGACGACAACGGCGACGACGCCGACGACGACGACGGTGACGACGGTGACGGCGACGACGATTTCAACGACGATGACGACGACGACGCCGACGACGTTGACGACCACGACGACGACGACAGCGAAGGTGCGGCGCAGTTGACGGCGACGGCGACGACAAAGGTGACGACGACGCCGGCGACGGTGTCTCGCTGCCGACAGTTTGGCGCTGGCGACAGCGACGGCGACGACGACGACGACGGCGACGGTGTGGCGCTGGCGACGGCCACGGCCACGGCCACGGCCACGGCGATGGCGACGGCGGCGACGACGGCGGCGACGACGCCGACGACGACGACGACGACACCGGCGACGATTTGGCGCTGGCGACGCCGACGGCGACGACGACGACAACGACGACGGCGACGGTGCTGGCGACGACGACGGCGACGGCGACGGCGACGGAGACGGCGACCGCGACTGTGTGGCGCTGGCGACGGCGACGGCGACGGCGACGACGACGACGACGACGACGACGACGACGACGACGACGACGGCATGGTTTGGCGCTGGCGGGGCGACGCGACGGCGAATCGGCGACGGCGCGGGACTGCCGCACGATGACGGCGACGGCGATGGCGACAGCGACGACCAGACAGCGACGACAACGACGACGGTGACGACGACGCGACGATGACGGCGAGTGTGCGGCGCTGGGCGACGCGACGGCGACGGCATCGGCGACGGCGACGGCGACGACGACGACGACAACGACGACAACGGCGACGACTGCGACGACGACGACGTTTGGAGCTGGGGCAACGGCCACGGCTGCGCGACGGGGCGACAGCGGATGGCGCGGCGACTGCGACGGGGGACGACGTCCTTGGCGACGACGACGACGCGACGACGACGACGGGAGCGACGACGACGAACGACGACGAAACGACGGCGACGGTGTTGCGACCTGGCGATGGCGACGACGGCGGCGGCGGCGACGAAGACAACGACGACGACCCTCTTGTGAACCTCGGATGTAACAGGCAACTGTGGGCCTTCATGTGCGTTTCCCCTCTCCCTCTCGCCCCGCCCGCGAGTCAATTGGACCACCCCCTTTTGGGGGGATTCGTTTCCTACCAGCTCCTGGGAGAAGATTCGGTACTCTCGATGCGCACCCATCGCACGGCCGCCAACTGCTAACGCGCCCCGCGGCCAAGGCGTCTCGGAGTAAATTGAGGAGGTATAGAGCGGGAGCCTTTGTCCGTGTCGTAGCTGCCCACTCCCCCTCCCCTCTTAGCGACTTGCCGAGGGGAATTCGAGCCAGACCGCAGTTCCTGAGCTTCGAAGCTTCCTCATGGCCAGGCCTCTCGAAGAAAATCGCGCAGAAACTGTCGGGTCGAAAGCTGCTGGTCATCGTAGCTGGGCGTCCACGAACGTGCTTGAATTGTGAGGACTGTCTCAGCCAGAGCGCGGTTCCTGAGCTTCGAGGCCTCTCTGGCCAAGCGTCTCGGAATAAATCGTAAGGAAGTGTCGAGCGGGAGCCGCTGTCGCCGTCGCTGGAATTCCACGAATTTGCATGAAATTCGAGGAAGTCTCGAGCCAGAGCGCCGTTCCTGAGCTTCGAGACCTCTCTGGCCAGGGCCCGTCGAAGTAAATTTCGAGGAAGTATCGAGCGGGAGCCGCTGTCGCCGTCGCTGGAACTCCACGAGCTTGCGTGAATTGCGAGGATGTCTCGAGCCAGAGCGCCGTTCCTGAGCTTCGAGACCTCTCTGGCCAGGGCCCGTCGAAGTAAATTTCGAGGAAGTATCGAGCGGGAGCCGCTGTCGCCGTCGCTGGAACTCCACGAGCTTGCGTGAATTGCGAGGATGTCTCGAGCCAGAGCGCCGTTCCTGAGCTTCGAGACCTCTCTGGCCAGGGCCCGTCGAAGTAAATTTCGAGGAAGTATCGAGCGGGAGCCGCTGTCGCCGTCGCTGGAACTCCACGAGCTTGCGTGAATTGCGAGGATGTCTCGAGCCAGAGCGCCGTTCCTGAGCTTCGAGACCTCTCTGGCCAGGGCCCGTCGAAGGAGGAACCATCGAGCGGGAGCCGCTGTCGTCGCAACCGGGCCCGCAAAAGGCACACCTACGCAATCACGCCCCCCGCTCGAGCGGGAGCTTCGCTCTCACAGAAAAATGAGGCGCGTCGGGGCGAGGGCGCCCCGGGCAACTTTCCGGACACCAGCAGTAATTGTTTTCTCTAGAACCGAGTTTTCAACGGCGACGACGGCGACGGTTTGGCGTTGGCGACGCCGACGCCGACGGGCGACGACGACGACCACCACGGCGACGGTATGGCGCTGGCGGCGGCGACGACGAAGACGACGACGACGACGACGACGACGACGACGACGACTACGACGACGGCGACGGTGTGGCGCTGGCGACGGCGACTGCGACGGTGACGGCAACGGCGGCGACGACGACAACGACGATGGCGGCGACGGCGACGGAGACGGCGACGGCGACTGTGTGGCGACGGCGACGGCGACGGCGACGACGACGACGACGACGACGACGACGGGGACGGGGACGGGGACGGCGACGGCGACGGCGAAACGAAGGTGTGGCGCTGGCGACGGAGATCGGCGACGACGGCGCTGGCGACGGCGACGGCGACGGCGATGATGACGACGACGACGACGAAACCAACGACGACGACGGCGATGACGACGGCGACGGTGACGGCGACGACGGCGACGACGACGACTGCGCAATTGTGGAGCTGGCGACGACGACGATGACGACGATGGCGACGACGACGACGACGGCGAAAGTGTGGCGCTGGCGACGGCAACGGCGACGGCGACGGCGACAACGACGACGGCGACGACGACGGCGACGACGACGACGATGGTGTGGCGCTGGCGATTGCGAAGGCGACGACGGCGACGGCGACGACGGCGACGACGACGGCGGGGGTGTGGCGCTAGCGATGGCAACGGCCCTGACGACGCCGACGACGACGACGACGACGACGGCGACGGTGGAACGCTGGCGACGGCGATGGGTGGCGGCGACCGTCGACGGCGACGACGACGACGACGACGACGACGACGACGGCGACGCTGTGGAGCTGACCGCGGCGACGACGATGACGACGACGACGACGATGACGACGACGACGACGACGACGACGACGACGACGACGACGACGGTTGCGATGGCGACGGCGACGGCGACGACGACGACGACGAAGACAACGACGACGACGACGACGATGACCTCAACAGTGTTGCGCTGGCGACGGAGACGTCGACGGCGTCGACGACGACGACGACGACGACGACGACGACGACGACGGCGACGACGTCGCGGCCGAGGACGACGACGACGACCACGATGACGTCGGCGACGGCGACGGCGACGGCGACGGCGGCGACGACGGCAACGACGACGGCGACGACGATGACGAGGATGACGACGACGATGGCGACGGCAAAGGTGTGGCGCTGGTGACGGCGATGGCGACGGCGTCGGCGACGGCGATGGCGACGTCGATGGCGACGGCGATGGCGACGACGACGACGACGCCGACGACGCCGACGATTGCGGTGACGACGACGACGACGACGACGGCGACGGGGTGGAGCTGGTGACGGGCGACGACGACGACGACGACGACGACGACGACGACGGCGACGGTTTGGCGCTGGCGACGGCGCCGGCGACGGCTACGACGGCGACGTTTGACCCGACGACGACCACGACACGACGACGACGACGACGGACGACGACGACGACGACGACGACGACGACGACGACGACGGCGGCGGCGGCGACGGCGGCGGCGGTGGCGACGACGACGACGACGACGGCGACGATGTGGCGTTAGCAACGAACGACGACGACGCGATGGCGACGGGCGACCGCGACGCGACCGCGACGGCGACGGCGACGGAAAGGTGTGGCGCTGGCGATGGCGACGGTGACGGCGACGGCTCGGCGCTGGCGACGGCGACGACGACGACGACGTTGCTGCGACGGCGACGGCGACGGCGACGACGACGCCGACGACGACGACGGCGACGACGAGGACGACGACGACGACGACCACGACGACGACGACGACGACGACGACGACGACGACGACGACGACGACGGCGGCGGCGGCGGCGACGGCGGCGGCGGTGGCGACGACGACGACGACGACGACGGCGATGTGGCGTTAGCAACGACGACGACGACGGCGATGGCGACGGCGACCGCGACCGCGACCGCGACGGCGACGGCGAAGGTGTGGCGCTGGCGATGGCGACGGTGACGGCGACGGTGTGGCGCTGGCGACGGCGACGGCGACGACGACGGCGACGGCGACGGCGACGGCGACGACGACGACGACGAAGACGACTGCTGCTGCGACGGCGACGGCGACGGCGACGACGACGCCGACGACGACGACGGCGACGACGAGGACGACGACGACGACGACGACCGCGCTCGAGGCCGCGCTCTGCCACGTCGCGCACCGCTCAGGCCCCGGGGGCGGGCCGCCGCGCCTGCTCGCGCGGCCGCTGGGGCCGTGGCGGCTGGCCTCGGCGGTGCTCTTGCTGCTCGCCTGCAACGCCAAGGCCCCGCACGGTCGGAGGAGGAGGAGGAGGAGGAGGAGGAGGAGGAGGAGGAGGAGGAGGATGGGAGGAGGATGGTGAGGGGAGGAGGTGGAGGAGGTGGAGGAGGATGTGAGGAGGAGGAGGAGGGAGGAGGAGGAGGAGGAGGAGGATGGGAGGAGATGTGAGGAGGAGGAGGAGGAGGAGGAGGAGAGGAGGAGGAGGAGGAGGAGGATGTGAGGAAGAGGAGGAGGAGGAGGAGGAGGAGGAGGAGGAGGAGGAGGAAGAGGAGGAGGAGGAGGAGGAGGAGGAGGCCGGGGTTTTCACGGATCCCCGTTCCCGTTGGCCGAGCGCCTACAGAGCTGATCTAGCCCACAAGGTTTTCTCTGCGAGGCCGCGAGAAACCTGCGCGGATGCGCCGCAGCTGTGCCGAGGAGTCGGCGCCTTCTTCCGCGGAGGCAAGGGTCAACGGAACTCACCAGGCGTGGGTTGAACCAAGTATTGCGAAGGCCTCGCGGCCAGTGCCGCCGACCCTGAAGGGGGGACGGCGACGACGACGACCACGATGACGACGCCGGCGGCGACGACGACGACGTCGACGACGGCGACGCTGACACGTGGGTCAGAGTCCTCAGGGATTCTGTTTGGGGTTTCTTCGGAGCGCTCTCGGAGGCCTCTGGGGCAGTTTTGGGGGCCTCTTGCGCACATCTTGGAGGCTTCATGGGAGCCTTTTGGGGCTTCCTGCGGGCCCCTTGGGGGCCTCTTGGGGGCCTTTTGGGGCCTCCTTGGAACCTCTCGGTGCGGAGGGCTCGACACGTCCGTTTGGTTCCCGTGTCTGAGCACCCTCTTGGAGCCCTCTTGGGGGCTTCTTGGGCCGTCTTGCAGGCGTCTTGGGCCGTCTTCGGGCCCTCCTCTTGGACCGTCTCGGAGCGTCGGGAAGCTGAAAAGGCGAGAACGCCCAAATCCTTCATATAATTACCCCAGTGCGACCCTACCTAGAAGTTGGAGCCCCTAGGAAAGCATCATTAGTTGCTATGCTATGCTATGCAATGCTATGCTGCGCTATGCTATGCTGTGCTGCGCTGTGCTGCGCTGTGTTATGCTAAGCTATGCTAAGCTATGCTATGTCATGCTGTGCTATGCTAAACTAAGCTATGCTGTGCTATGCTAAGCTGCGCTATGCTATGCTATGCTCTGTTATGCTGTGCTGTGCTATGCTGAGCTGTGCTGTGCTGCGCTATGCTATGCTATGCTATGCTATGCTATGCTGCGCTATGCTACGCTATGCTGGGCTATGCTATGATATGTTGTGCTGCGCTATGCTATGCTATGCTATGCTATGCTATGCTAAAGCTCAGCGAAGCTAAGATGAAGGTAAACTAAGCTAAGATAAACCTGAGCTAAGATGAAGCTAAGCTAAGCTAAAATGAAATAAGCTAAGCTAAGATGAGATAAGCAACGCTAAACTAAGGGGACGTAACTGGGGGAACCGCGGGGCGGATGCCGGGAGAACCGCCCGGGGCGATTTACATTGCCCGGCCCCTTTAAGCACAGAGGGTAAGAACCCTTCTAGGCAGAGCCTAGGTAGGGAAAAACGTCAGGAGAACCAATGAATGTTGCCTCTCGGGGCTCTCTTGGGAGTGCTCGTCGAGGCGTCTTGGGGCGTCTTCCAGCCCCCTTGGACCGTCTGGAGGCCGTAAAGACGTCTTTAACCAATCGTTCGGCGATTCGGGGTCCTCTTGGACCGTCTTGGGACCCCTTGGGTCTCCCTTGGCTCGTCTTGGGACCTTTTTGGGGCTCCGGACCCCCCCCCAGGGAGGGCGGCACCCCCTCCACGACCTTCCCCCCCGCGACATCCCCGCGACCCCCCACCCTGCGACCCCCCCGAGGGCCCCCCTCCCCTCCGGGCGGGAGAGGGATCAAAGGGAAGAGGCTTCCCGTCGACTCAGCTGCGACGTTGCCGAATTTCGCCGGGGCTGAGTTGCTTGAGGAGCAGGGCGCGATGAAAGAGGGGGGAGAGGCGACGGGCGCAGGGAAAGGGGAGGCGCGGCGGCGACGACGACGACGACAAACAGCGACGCCGAACAGCGACGACGACGACGACGACGACGACGACGACGACGACGACGACGACGACGACGGTGTGGCGCTGGCGACGGCAACGGCGACGACGACGCCGACGGCGACGGCGACGGCGACGACGACGACGACGAACAGCGACGACGACGACGACCACGACGACGACGACCACGACCACGACCACGACGACGACGACGGCGACGACGACGACGAGTCAAACGGAACAGCGCATTCCACACGCCGACAGGGTTGGCGGATTTTGTCGAGCTCCTGTTCGAATTGGGGCAGGGTATCTCAGCCCCATCAACGGAGGGGATAGTCCCCCCGAAACCCGAAGGAGCAAGGATACGAGCGTCGGTTGGAAACGGGTTCGTTTTCACCGGCATTGGCGCGTAAGGTGCACGCGTAAGGTCGCGCGCAAGTGCCCACGCTTCCAATCGAGCGAGCCGCGCGGTCGGCCCGCGCAAGCCGCGGCGCAAAGTCGCTGTATGACATGTCGCGTAAGACCCTTCCCCTCTCGTCGCTCACACAGGTGTCGGAGACAATTAAGCAACACTCATGCAGAACATATGGTTTGAACCTCCCCCCCCCTCCCCCCAGATGCAATGTCGGTTTCGGATCTTCCGATTTGGGGCCTCCGAGCGGTCTTGCGAAAACCTGTCGACTTTGAATTGCGGGGGAGGGGGGGGGGAGTGTTGCTTAATTGTTTCCCTCAACCGCATGTCTCCATCCAGGGAGGGCATCGGTCCGTGGGGCCAAGGCCATGCCAGTGGGGATGCTCTTGGCCCCCCCCCAGCGGGAGAGGAGGAGGAGGAGGAGGAGGAGGAGGAGGAGGAGGAGGAGGAGGAGAAAGATGAGGAGGAGAGGAGGAGGAAGAGGAGGAGGAGGAGGAGGAGGAGGAGGAGGAGGAGGAGGAGAGGGGGAGGAGGAGGAGGGAGGAGGAGGAGGAGGAGGAGGAGGAGGAGGAGGAGGAGGAGGAGGAGGAGGAGGAGGAGGAGGAGGAGGAGGAGTAGCGAGCGCATGAGGGGACGCGCCGAGTCGGGATACGGGGCAGAGAGCAGACGATTGGGAAAAGGTGAGAACGCACAATCTCTCACAGACAGAGTGGGGAACACGAAAGGGCATGCCCAAACATGTCCCCTCGCACACGCCCGACGACGGGCCTGTGGAGCAGAGACAGGCCAGGAAGCTGACCTGGACACGGGGCCGATCCATTCACCAGACCCCGCACAAAGATATTAAGAACAAAACGAATTGAACCGAATTCACGAGGCCAGCCCAAGCCACTCCACAGCGGGGTCAGAGACCAACATGCGCCTAGGGAGGGGGATGGGGTGCTTGCGGCCCTCACTGGGGTGCCGCCCCTCCGCGAAATTGTTCCGCCTCCATTTCCTCTGAGGGTTGCCCTCAAAGGCCTTGGGGCCCTCGCATTCATTATAAAGCTGGGATCGGTGAGCACGCTCAGAAAAGGATCCGCAGCGCATGCATCCAACCACGTCGCCCGCTCGGTAGAGCACATGGCCTCGAGAGGCCTGAGGGGGGACCGTCCCCTCCGCAGGGAGCACCGTGCTGGGAGGGACGGCATTGGCCCTCGTAGTGGCCGCCGCAAGTCTAGGGCGCTTCTCCGAGCCGATCGGGGGATCCAGGGCGAGCGTGGCATCCGAGTCTGGACAGGCGGCTCGAACTGCACTCTCGGCTTGACCCTACGGGGGGCTCGGATGAAAGCCTCCGCCCCCTCGACCTCAGGCCTCCTAGACTTACCCACAATCCTGACCCGCGGGCTCGGGTGGGGAGGAGGAGGAGGGGGAGGAGAAAGGTCAGAGGACGAAGCAGGGGAGGAGGGAGGATCACCGCGCAGCGCCTTCCTCCCAGGGCCGTCCTCGTCTTGACCGCCTCCTCGGCCGTCTTGGCTGCCCAGAGGCCTCTTGGGGGCCTGACGGGGGCCAAGGGGGGGGCTCCGCGGGACCTCGTCGGGGCTGGACTGGGGCTCAGGGGCCTGAGGTTCCGAGGGGCGGTGCACTGTACACACCTCGAGGGCCATGCGCCTTCGTCCCGATGCCGTCCGCGCGAAGCGCTGACAGTATTTACATTTCCATCCTTTGGCCAGCGTGGGCCTGATGTCATGCAGGCGCTGGCTCGTAGTCAGTACAGGGCGGTGGTGTCCAGGCCGACGGCGTCGCTGAAGTCGTCGGCGTGACTTCCGCGCTGGCGGTGGCTGGCGGTCCTGGTTCCCAACCAACGTCATAGAGGACCCAATCCAGCACGCAACCTGCCTGACAATATTGATCATGTTCGAGTGGAGCTGAACGGCCTCCGACGGCAACGCGTGCATAGCCAGGCCCCTCTTTGCTGCGACATCTGCATAGTCATTGCCCTTCTTATCAGATGTGGCCTCGCCCTGAGTCTGGTGCGATCGAACATAAGAGATCTCCAGCTGCGAGGATAAGCCTCCATGATCTTGGATAGTCTGCCATAGCAATCTCCACAAATCACAATTCGGCCTGCGTGGGTGCGTGCACCACTCTGGCCCACATAAGAGGGCTTCCACGGTGCCCAGGCAGTCCGTACGGATGTGCATAGGCAGCATTCCATGTCGTAGCACTTGAATGACAGCGTATAGTTCAGCACGCGGAACTGATTGCTGTTGTCCTGGGAGAGGTCCGTACGCAATCCCTCGAAGAACTTGACCTGTCATCATTGCGATTCCCCATCCAGCCCTGTTGGCTTCGGGCCAGGCTATGGGGGAGAGCCCTGATCCATCCGTGTAGATGTCTCCCGTCAGCATGGTCATGTCACCTCCATGGGCGAAACTCCATGCATCCTCCATGGCTGGTGGCGGAATGCCAGGCAAGGCGCCCCTCGGCATCAGGCCTCGGGTGAACAAGAGGTCGTTGTGAGGCGAGGCCCGAGCCGCCTGGATGATGTCAGCGTCAACTGCGGCCTCT